TTTATTAAAATTCTCAATATTTGCTTATTCGTAATACTTCTATTTTCTTTTGCTTGCTCCAAGATCGGATCAATGAAATTGTGGTTTAAATTTTTTTTTTTAGGCGTGCCATATAGTTCATGAAGGGTTAAGTATACAAATATTTGCCTTCAATATCAGATCGTTTTCAATCATTGAGCATATATTTTTTCTCAATGCACGATTTTACAAACTGATGTTTTTTTCAGCAATCAAATCACATCAGTTTCAATATTTCATCTGTCAAAGCAGAGGCGTTCACGCGAGGCGATTTCGTACTTTTTCAGCGCCGTACCTGCTACAATTCGTCGAGTTTGCTTATGCATGTGAAATCTCTGAGAACTGGTCAACTTTTCATTCAACTTTTCAACTGGACGAATCCAAGCACACGCGTCCAGAGCGAAAGAAAGAAGTTTTTATCGATACAGCGTCCGATCACTACAGCGATCGAAGCCTTTCGTGCACTATTTTTGTGACATAAATAATCTTTATTTATTTCTCAGATAAATGCTTCACAAATTACATTTTTGCCGTCACTTTCAATTTGGATCTCCCTGCTATGCATCTCTTATGCATTTACATCAGGCATTTATATTTGGCTTGGGTTAGCTGTGTCGGGGAGCGAGAAACTAGCCTAAGGCAAATATGCATTTTTTATGCGGAGGAAGCTAAAGATCAAGTGTCAAGTGTCAATGCAAATATCCACAGTATTTTTACAACATATCAATTGAAGACAAGGAGAGTTTTATACAGCAATGACTCTAAACTCAAGCCAGTCGGCGGTACTGGCGCAGGAATACGCCCGACTTAATGACGCTCAAATAAGTTGGGGCAAGGACTTTTTTTCACGTTTAAATACAAAACGTGGCGATTGTCTGAAGGTGTTAGACATGGGCTGTGGAACGGGTGAACTAACCGCATGTATTGCAGACATGCTTGGTGCTAATAGCGAGATTGTTGGAGTGGATCCTTTATTGGATAGAATAAATATTGCCGTGGGTAAAAACCGCCGAGGAAATCTCAGGTTTATACATGGCCAAAGCTCCAGCCAATTTCCTCATCATAACGAAGCGTATTATGACATACACTTCAGTAATTTCGTCCTTCATTGGTTGCGTCCAAAGGATCAAGAAATTTTCATCGAAACAGCGTTCAGAGTTCTCAAGCCTGGAGGAAGAATCGCTATTCAGTGCAACTACAAAAAAACCGAAATTATCGATGCTGCGCTCAAAGATCTTCTTCTAGTGGATTTTGTCGAGTATTTTGCGATTAAATCTGAGGTCGAAGTCATGTTGAAACAGGCAGGGTTTGTTATCGTGTCCTTCGAATATGCTGAACCATATAGTTACAAATTTGAGAATTTGTCGCATTTCATTGCCTGGCTCCGTGCAACATATTACATTTCTGAAGGTAAAGTGCAGGATAGTAAAGTTGATGGATTTCTACAAAAGTTTGCCAATGAAGATGGAACGTTGACTATGACTATACCCACAGACACATGCGCAATCTATCAAATTATCGCCTCAAAGCCTGAACCACAAGACTCGATTGAATAGCAATAAAAAGGATCACCACTTAAAACTAAACTTGTCTAGTTGATTCACAGTGGTTGATTAAAGTTTTCGAAGTACTTAAAACCAAAATTATTTTGAACAATTAGGATTCGTAATAAATGTGTCTGGAAATTTAAGGAATTCGATTATACTAAATAATCTTATGGTAATCATATAGGTATGTCTGTCAACATATCTAACACTGCTTATATTCACTACGCTTCTAAATGAATATGGGCTAGAATTCACTTTCAGAAAACGTCAAAGCATGCGAAGTTTCAAATTTAGGCAATTTTTATACCATGACGGGCTGATATAGGTATAGTAAAGAACCGGTGCCCTAGGATAAGTTCTAGTAACCTCAAGGTCAAACTCTTGACTCTTGACCGAGATAAAGAGAGTTTATACATTGTGCTATATATTTAACATCACACCCCCAGCTGGGAAATCGATGACTGATTGCGATACAGCGGAAAGGCACTGGTCATATAGGACAAATACTTTTTTCACATTCAGCCAACAGTTAGTTATTGCAACAACGGAAAAAGTGCAATCGCTTTTCTGCAGCGAGTTCATATGTTTGAATAAACACCAGTGTTACCATAGGCAGCCCAACAGCGGGCGACTCGCGTGCCTGACAGTGTTCAGGCAATGTAGGCATTATATAGTATATATATTACACGGCAGCCTGAAGCTAGGTCGACAGTCTGGTCTACTGACCTTGGGGTGTGTGTTCACTGTGTTGTGTAGTTTATTGACGTAAGCTGGGCAATGCATTTTCGTATTTCGAAACAAAAGAGTCGGTGTTTTCGACAGGCGTCCGCGGCGGCAAAATATTTCACATTAACACACACACGCAATATGTCAATTTCAGTTATTTTAAAGAAATTTTATGCCCGGTTTCCATTTTGTGCACAAGTTATTTTCACCGATGAGAAATAGTCCTGATGTAAATTTGTCTTTATTTCCTGTATTTAAATCGGTCACTGTTGACTGCACACACCTATAGAAATATTCTATCACATCCGCCACCTTGACATGTTCACGAAACGTGACTAAATGAAAACCAGGCTTTCTACTTTAGACACTTGACTAAAATGCAGTTAAACAAAAATGAAGGTAAAACTCGCGATTATTGTTGAACAAAGACTTGTTATTCGCTGGATATATTCGTGCTCGTCAAAATTAAAAATTCCAACCTTCAGTGACATTTAGACAAAATAGATATATGCTCGCTAATAATTGAGTATTTCTGCCTGGAATTACAAGAATTTGTTCATTGACGTCGGCAGAAGGTACATTTATGACATCGATGCTGCCGTTTTGGTTAAAACGGCTTTATTTGAGAGTGGAGATAGACTGATAGTCAATTTTATGTTTTGCATGATAAAACTACGGGTACTGAACCGAAGCTATTGTCTCTGGCAAAAAGTGCACCGGATGCTTGGTTAAGGCGATTCTCCATTACCGGTCGCTTCACCCGCGCGGGCGAAGCGGCCTTTGAAATTCTGTCCATGAGAATCGCCTTTAGACAACGAGAATACAGCCAACGGGGACGGCTTTAGGTATTCTGCACTTGTATCGTCTTGAGGTCACATGCAGCGCTTTAATGGAAAGCATGAAATATTTATTCCACAGGCTAAGAAAAGCAGGGGTGAAGGGCTGATGATTGACTGCATCAACAGCTATGACTGTGTGCGTCATGATCTTAAGTGGCAATCATAACTAAGTTGAGTTTGGTATGATACCAGTTGCTGTGACCATCTTTCAAAACTTTGTTGCGATTTTTCAACGTTTCCAAGTAAATTTATGTACCTTAGGCTTAGATTTAAAATTTTTTGTTCGATTTGCTTTTTTATTCTTGTATGCAATTCCGAGCATTGTGTCAAACGAGTTTTGTGTTTCCTTGGTATAAATTTATTTGGCTAGTTGGGGGGCGTACTTTAAACTTAACTCAGAATAAAGCTAGGCAATAATTCCTCGCAGTTTTCTTTCTTAATAGTTCAGTAAGTGTAAAAAATCACCTAAAGAATATACCAGTAAAAAGAATTCACGATGGTAGAATGATCGTATCACATACAGTGGCGTAGCCAGCCTGATGATTTTGTCTCGCTATGTGGATTTCGTGTTAGTATACTTATTCATTTCTTTAGAAATTCATTGTTTTCACAGTCAATGAACAACAAAATATTAGCATAGCGGGATAAATCGTCAGGCTGGCTACGCCACTGGTCAGAATCGAAGTTCTGCTACCAAGTTTTGAAACGTTCCGTGCCCAAATCCCTTACCCAAAACGGATGCTTCTGTCGTTTGTTATTCTTACTCGATACACAACGAGGGCAAAAAAATAGCAAAATTGCATTAACATATCATCCATGCTTAATATTGCTAAATCTCAATTCCTGCTGGAATATTATATATGAGCGACTTTTAACGACTGGCAACCATATGGAAACCACTTGTTTTTCCATCAATAATTGACAGTTTTTCAATTGGAAACAGCTGTTTTTTCGACGATAGACGATCCAGCGATTAAATGAAAAGCGAGCTTTACAGCAGAGCATTTTTCTGCAATAAAATAGACTAAAAAGGTAAATAAAATAGACTACTATGGCAACGGTGTTGGACCCAAACCAATCTATACTCGCCGAGGAATACTCTCAATTTAACGACCATCAAATAAGATCCGGGAAAGACCTATTTTCAAGTTTAAATGCAAAACATGGCGAAGGTCTGAAGGTGTTAGACATGGGCTGTGGAACGGGTGAACTAACCGCATGTATTGCAGACATGCTTGGTGCTAATAGCGAGATTGTTGGAGTGGATCCTTTATTGGATAGAATAAATATTGCCGTGAATAAAAATCAGCGAGGAAATCTCAGGTTTATACATGGCCAAAGTTCCAGCCAATTTCCTCATCATAACGAAGCGTATTATGACATACACTTCAGTAATTTCGTCTTTCAATGGTTGCATCCAATGGAGAAAGAGGTTTTCATCGATACAGCGTTCAGAGTTCTCAAACCTGGAGGAAGAATCGCTATTCAGAGCGTCGAGGAAAAACCCGAAATTCTATCTGCTGGGTTCAAACATCTTCTCGGCGATGGTTTCGAAGAGCAACGGGTCCCGGAGTATTTCGCGAGGAAATCAGAAGTCGAAGTAATGTTAAAACAAGCCGGCTTTGTTATCGTGTCCGCCGAATACAAACCGATTAGCAACAAATATGAGAATTTGGCGCATTTTCTGGCGTGGATTCGCGCAACATTTTATATCTGCGAGGGTAAATTGCAAGAAAATAAAGTTAATGGTGGATTCTTACAAAAGTTTGTCAAGGAGGATGGAACCTTGACTATGATAGTACCCTCTGTCTATCAAATTATCGCTCTGAAACTGAACCGCAAGACTCTAATTAACACCAATAGATTATAATTATAACGTAAATATGGATTTCCTTTTCAAGGAGCAAATAAGTGCAGTCATAAACATGTCAGTTTTTTTTTAAATAGCATATGAAGCAATGGTTTAAGCTCTCGGCGTTTTGTTAGCGATGACAGTAACAAATCCAAAGCATTTGGCCCGGGGCGGTTTACATGAGCCCGGTTACCCGAGATTCAACGAAGCGTGAGAGGACTTTGAGGTACTGAAATAAGTCTTTATGATGCCAAATAAGCACATGCTATTGTTGTGGCGATTATACGACTGCCAGGATCATGTTATCTGCTTATTTGAATACCACAAAATCATCTCACGCTTCGTTGAATCTCGGGTAACCGACCTCATGTAAACAGCCCCATAGTCAGAATTAGATTATATGCATGCATTCTTTCGAAATTATTACTTAAGGCTTCTTTTCCAATTTCCACTCATCGCAAAATCAACTCGCAAGCTCGCCGCGAGTTTTTGCATCTAACAACTGTGCCCCATTTCCTGTTTTTCCTCAATATTTATTCCTTTAGAAAAATGTTTCTTTCTTAGGGTTTCTAGTAAATAGAGCACTTCGTGCAGAATATAGGGGTAGAACTGCATTATTGGTGCTAAGATGTGGCTAACGATATACGTGAATAAGGCTGAGTTTGGAATCATGTACTCGAGGAATCTGTTTGTACTGAAATTCAATAGGATCGGTCTGGCCATTTTTACCCTTGAAGGGAAGGTGCGGTTTGATTGAAGAATGGCATAGTCCATATAGACACCTCGTTACGTGATATCGTATTACATCACATTAGGGTGTTTCAATGGAATATCATTATATCATTGACAGACAGTCAGACATTGCTAGAGTCTAGTAACGAAGTTTCCTTCTCTGACATTGTCGTACGACAGACGTCTAGATTTCCTGCGCTATCGGCCGTGCACATGCAGCGACTCGTGTACGCGTTCTTTTATATGGGCGTGTATCGTGCATGCAGTTTCCTGTTTTTGCTCGCACGACCCGAGTTCGAATCCCGGCGACAACAAACTTTTTCAATTTTTTGTTTCAGTAAAATATTTCTTTTTTAGGGTTACTATGGGCTTAGGTTACTATTTGAAGTGTGTTTAGCACGAAAATATTTCGATACGAAATCAGGAGAGTTCAAAATACGAGTATCTTAGTTGGCCTGCGCGGCCAGGAAGATCGGGTCGAAAACGTAAAAAACATGAAAAACAAAACAAAACATCGACGGTTATTCTAGACTGCAGTAAATAGACTGTCAACAAACTGCCATTTCCTAATCGAGCAGGGTACTGGGTCTATTCGCGAACCGCAAAGCATCTATGGACTGTTTGGAGGGACAAATGATTTCAGACTTATATTTCCTGTCCCTCCAAACAGTCCATAGATGCTTTGCGGTTCGCGACTAGACCCGGTACCCTGCTCGATTGGCAAATGGCTAATTGTGTTTGGACGTAATTACACGCAGCGAGCTTGCGAGTTAGTTTTTGTTGCGATGAGCGAGTGAGAGTCTTAAGTCCTTGAAATATGCGATAATAGTTGGTGATGAAGCAAAACTTATCGTTAACCAAACCTGTTTCTCGGCGTATATTCGTGCTCCACAAAATGTCAACTTTGAATGTCAACCTTTATGTTACATAAGCGCCCCGCTGACAATTCACTGCTTCAAGCAATGACTGCATGAGTGCGTCGTGACGTAAGTGTGGTAGGTAATTACCCTGACTTAAGTCATAGTTAATATAAAGAGATCCTCTTATATTAACTACGCTAGCTTAAGTGCAATTTTGGTGAAGTCAAACGTGTGATTACGTATGCAATATCAAAGATTTGTTTAATCATTTTTAACATATATTCTAGCCTTTTAGCTTGATCTTACTGTCTTTCTAAGTTTTTTTTGTAACTTTACAATGCTAAATTTATGTCCCTTAGATTTCGAAATGTTGTTTTATGTTTTTCCTGAAAAACGAGAAACTATCAAATTTTACTACTTTTTAAATCACGTAGTAAGGGCTACGAAGTTTTCCTAATAAAATGTCGTAGTCAGATGAGCGAAGGCTACGAATCTATGGCGTCGATACGAATATGAAGTCATTATGATGAATCTTGCAGCCGTAGTGCATGGGAGCCGTGGTAAAATCTAAAGCTCTCTGACAAATGTTGACGAAACTCATGAATAACCATCTCGCTATAACTACTTCTCTCTATTACTCAGTTTTCATACCAGAATTTCCCATCACGTACACATGTGGTAAAAATGAATTGTTATAATATATTTAATTAATAAGCAAACTACTCTAAATTACTCAGTGCTCTACATTTTTTCTTAAGACCACTCGTAATATGTCACTCTTGGCTTTTTGAAAACAACGTCCTACCATTTTAGCCAGCTTTTGAGGTTCCTTTTAATTCGAAATCGCACGTACGGCTTGCGCGTTGACGGCCACCTTGAAAGTAGACTACATGCAGTTCTACAGTTTTATATACTAGTGGGTTTGGGAAATACAAGGGCGACGGCAACCTCAACGTCCTTATCGACAGTGGCATTGATCCTTTACTGAGACAAAAGAAAATGTAAATTACGTGGCCTTTAACGTTGCACATTGCCGTAGTTGCTGAAACGACATCGTGACTTACACCAATTTCACCGTGCACGACAACGCGGCAACAGTTAATGTGTTCGATGTTGTTTGGAGTGTTCGAAGCAATTTTTCTGATCGACCATATTTATAATAGTTAATAACTGTTTCAGAGAAAGAGGAAACTTGAAAAGGAAAATCAAGTCGATATACTAACTCGTATTTTCTTTGAATACCACAATATTAGGTGAATATATTTTGCCGTTGAGGTTGTATTTCCCAAACTCACTACTGTGACACGTACAACGACGGCCGGCTTACCGCGACGGCCGGCTTAGCGATCAGTTTCGAGTCACCGGCCATGCGCCAAACCGTGCAAGTAGAGACCATCTTAATGCAAGCACTATCGCGCATCAATTTTTATTAGTCGTAGTCAAAATCTAAAGCTCTTTGACGCATGTTCAACCAACACACTCATGAATAACAATTGTCTCCCTATAACTACTTGTCTCTACTCACTATACATACCAGGATTTCCTATGACGTACACTTATGGTAAATAAAGTATTATGCAAACCGCCCTAAATTACCCAGTTCTCGACATTTTTCTATTTTTAAGAGCACTTATAATAAGTCGCTCTTATGGCTTTTTAAAAGCAACATCTAGCTACCATTTTAGCCAGCTTTTGAGGTTTCTACGCCAGGTCACACGATTCTCCTGCGATTCTAGGTGCGATTTAATTTGAAATTGCACGTACGGCTTGCGCGTCGAAAGTAGACTACAGTTCTGCTGTCATACGTACAACGACCGGCCGACTTACCGCGACGGCCGGCTTAGCGATCAATTTCGAGTCACCGGCCATACGCCAAAACGTGCAAGTGAAGACCGCCTTAATGCAAGCACTATCGCGCATCAATTTTTATTACTTTTTTTATCACGTAGTGAGGGATACGAAGTTTTCCTAAAATGCCGTGTTCAGATGAGCGACGGCTACGAGCCTTTGGGCTGTTTTCCACTGTCGCGTTTTTTGTATATACGTACCGTATACGTGCGTAGAAGTTTAAAATCATTTAAATCATACTTATGAAATCAAGGATTAAATAGATGCACGGGGTTAGATTCTGTCGATGATTTGGTGTGTTTTTTCTGGCATTAAATTAATTATACATGCAATAACTTCGAACATTTTAAACTTTAATTTACGTGCGTGTACGTACGTCAAAAAAACGCGTCAGCGGAAAGCAGCCCTATGGCGTTAATACGAAGTATCACAAATATCACGTCCATCTGACGAATCTCGTAGCCGTAGCTGGACTCGTAGTCAAATCTAAAGTTCTCTGACGAATGTTCACCCACCACACTCTTGAATATAACAACTATCTCGCTATAATTAATACTTGTCTCTATTGCTCACTATACATACCAGCCTTTCCTATCACGTACGCATTTGGTAAAATTAAATTGGTATATAATATGTTTAATTATGCAAACTCGACAATTTTTCTATTTAAGAGCAACGTCCTACCGTTTTAGCCAGCTTTTGAGATTCCTACGCCACACGTCCACACGATTTTCCTGCGATTCTCTATAGGTGCGATTTAACTCAAATCATTTCTACTACAAGAAAGGGACGTTTACATGGCGATGACTTTAGACTCAAACCAGTCGGCGGTATTGGCGCAGGAATACGCCAAATTTAACGACTTTCAAATAAGTTGGGGCAAGGACTTTTTTTCACGTTTAAATACAAAACGTGGCGAAAATCTGAAGGTGTTAGACATGGGTTGTGGAACGGGTGAACTAACCGCATGTATTGCAGACATGCTTGGTGCTAATAGCGAGATCGTTGGAGTGGATCCTTTATTAGATAGAATAAATATCGCCGTGAATAAAAACCGCAGAGAAAATCTCAGGTTTATACATGGCCAAAGCTCCAGCCAATTTCCTCATCATAACGAAGCGTATTATGACATTCACTTTAGTAATTTCGTCTTCCAGTGGTTGCATCCAAAGGATAAAGAAGTTTTCATCGAAACAGCGTTCAGAGTTCTCAAGCCTGGAGGAAGAATCGCTTTCGAGTGCGACTACGAAGAAACCGAAATTGTCGTCACTGCGCTCAAAGACCTTCTTCTGGTGGATTCCATCGAGGAGTATTTTCCGAGGAAATCAGAAGTCGAAGTGATGTTGAAACAGGCGGGGTTTGTTATCGTGTCCTTCGAATGTATTGAACCAAATAATTACAAATTTGAGAATTTGTCTCATTTCATTGCCTGGCTCCGTGCAACATATTACATATCTGAAAATGAATTGCAAGAAAGTAAAGTTGATGGATTTCTCCAAAAGTTTGCGAATGAAGATGGAACTGTCACTATGCATACAGCTCCTATCTTTCAAATTATCGCTTTAAAGCCTGAACCAC